CATACTGCATAGTTCATCACAACAGCGTCTTTCGGACTCAGCTTATGCCATCAAATCCATAATATTTCCTTTTGAGTATACGTAAGTAATCATTTGTAAATATCTATAAAAATTCGTTTGAGTTCGGCTATGTCACCAGGACTACTTAACATACACGCCTGTTTTCCAGATATACCTTCGTAACAGCATTGCCGGAACTGTTGCTGGAGTATCTGGAAAGTCCTACACCTTATCTCATGGGCGTATTATCCCAAGTGCGAGGAAAAGTATGATGGAATTTTTAGCTAAATTAGAATGCTTTGTAATGGTTCTCAATTTCCAGCTGCCAAATGTGGATGCAGTTGTAGTGGACCTTGATACTGGCGAAGTCCGTCTTCCTGTCAACAGTCAATTAGCCGAGCTTCCTTCTCCATTTCGTGAACGTCTAATCACGCGGCTCCAAAGGGTAAGCAACTTGCTGGCCTCATTTAGATTTTGATGCACTTTTAGATTTTTGGTAGAATCAAAACTATTTGATTTTTCGACTTTTTTCCTCCCGTTTTGCTACTTTTCTGATTTTTTTAGAATTTTATGGAAAGATTTTCAAATTTGCGCCGTTATTGCCGCTCACATCTTACTTCTCAACGACTGATGCCTAGCTTCTACCGTATGAGATCATTAATATAAAAAAGTGATATGCTAGATTTTGCCCGGCTAGTTGTATCAGCTGCATTGCAGCAACAAAGTAAACATTTTGTCGTTATTCTGTTGACTTCTAGGTTCTCAGCCCAGAGCTATCCACAGCTGACTATGCCATTCCTGCAGCTCTGCCGCCACCCTTGGAACCACATTTGTTGGTATGATTTTTCCTGTATTAACACATAGAAGAATTTTCGAACATCCGATGAGTATTGTAGGACAAGGAAATACGAGCCTGTTTCGTTTTGTTCTTTTCCGAACTCCTTTATGGCTATCGTTCTTGTTTGGAACTGGTTCGTCTTCACCGCCATCCGCTCATCGTTTTCCATAAAGCTGCGTTTATGGGTATGAGGTAGGATTCTCACACATTTTGCTGAGAAGATTATCATTTCCCTTCGATTTGATTAGACATCTTTCATCTCCTCTCCTTCACGATCTTATCGAAGGGCAAATGTTTCAACTTTTCGTTGCTACTCGAGGCTTACCATTTAGGGAATGCGATATCTTTGATGAGGTTGGGCTTTTCACTGTATCTTTCTTCCACCATTCCTTAGATCTTGTTAGGCGCTTTCTATCCAGATAGTGTGCACGGCAACTATTGATGGCGATGATTTAGACACATCTGATGAGAAACAAAGACTTTCAAGAATTAGTTCCTCATTACTTATGAATGTAGGTTCACTGTCCATTATTGAGGCTGGTCATGTGTTCTAATTTTTTGACCTCCGCCACTAGTGTACGTTCATATTTTATCAGGAAAAGCAGGAATGTATCATGACAACTACGCCCACTCTTACAAAGAGAACGTCTCTAGCTCTTACTAATGGGGATCACTTCAATCATGATGAATGCACCATTCGGCCGCTGAGCAACGATAGAGTGATGATCTACATGTGTTTACATAGAGTTCATTGTAATCTTCTACTTCATAGATCAACGCCCTCATTGAGCAGAATCGTTCACATTGGAGCCTTGATGATCCTGGCAGGCTGCACCCAAAAGTAAGGTTTTACTGGCTGCCGGTCTGTCTTAATCTTCTTGGTTCTGTAGGAGGTGCCGGTTCCTGAGAAGCTGAATTTGTACGAAGAGCACATTGGAGCGAACAGTCGCCGGCTTTTGGTTTGTGTTCTTTCGTTTAACGCTTACTGTTGAAAGGTAACTCTAAGCAATTCTAGGTACTTAGCGCTTGCGTCGATGCAATATTCGACAATCGAATGTCAGAAGCCAGGAAGGTATCAAAGTGATTGTTTATTTTTCTAATAGTCTAAGCAAGTGTGACGAAGTACAAACACGCAGTGCCTTTTCTCGAACCTTTTGCGAGGCGTCATTTATTGTCGTTAGTCTGGTGTCTTCTCAAGTCAAAGTTCTACAATTATACGAGTAATTTATATAGCTTTGTCATGCATGTGGCTTTCTTGCCCTGGCGGTCATGCGCCGTATGTTAAGAAAATCATCATGGTATGTAGAATTTTGTCAATTTACGCTCAACAGTTTATAAGCCATTTGATTGTTCAGCTGTAAAGAAGCAGTCAGGCTTTAATTATAGAGTGCAGGTTAACTGCGACGTTGATCAAAATATAGACTTAAAAAATAGAAGTAAAATGAAAACGAATAGTTGATAGTAAATGCACCACACTCACGATTCAGATGATGTGCGCTGTAGAATTATCCTTGCGAGTCGTAGCTGCTCGTGTTGCTCTCTGTCGGCAGTTAGCGA